CGCCGCGGAGCTCGGGAGGCCTCCGGGCGCCGCAGGGGCCTGGGCCGCTGCCGCCACCTGGCGCTGCTCCGCGGCACCCGGGCTCCAGGGCCGCCTTTTCCGGCGGGGTGTCGGGGTGAGGAGGGCGGCCGCCTGGTCCGAGCTGCCCGCTGCGCTCCGGCGTTGCCAGGCGTGCGGGGGACGCTGCAGCGGCTTCCGGATCTCTTGCAGGGGGATCCGTCCCAGGAGGGGGGACGCGGCACCGGAGCACGCACAGAAATACCCGGGGGCAAATCCTGCTGGTGGGTGTTTGGTGGCCTGGCGCAAGGGAGCAGAAGCTCACGGGCTGCTGGCGTAGGACAGCTGGCAGGGCAGGCACGAGAAGGATCCAGGCCTTAAAGGTAAAGACAAAAAGCTGTGTTCAGTGAAGTGAAATGGGTAGCCAGTGGAGAGACAAAAAGAGAGGGTCGATAGAAATCACAGCACTGTGGCAGAAGATCTGCTGGGCTCTACAGAGGTAGCATCTTTTTTTTTTTTTTTTTTTTTTTTTTTCCCCCTAGGAAAAAACGCTATTATTTGGGAGATAGGCTAGGAACAGCTGAGTTTTAGCTTGCAGAGCCCTCTCTCTAGCTCTTCAATCCTCAAAAGTCCTCGGCTGTAAGGGCAGGACAGTCTATTAGCCACTTACAGATGCAGTACTAAGTAATAGCTACTTTGGTCAGTCAAGCTCCTAGGAGCAAAGCATCCTTTTAAAACACATAGGTATATGAAGGCCAGTCTGCAGCCCAGGACATTCTCTGGAAAGAATAACCAAGCTATTTATCAAGTATTTACTAAACATTCATGATAATTTTATACGTTATAGAATTTAATGTATAATTGTTCACTAATTTCTCCAAAGCTATTCATTAGTGATACATCATTACAGTGACAAATGGCATTAATGAAAGACAAAGTAGAAATGCTTCCCAGTATTCTCCTAAGGTTCGCCTGAACAAAGAATAATGTGAAAGAAAATAACATTTTCCTTCTTCCAAGCCAGGGTACAAACAGCAGTACTTCTATCTGCAGGAATCACTGCTGTGATTGTAAAAGTATAGGAAAACTTCTAACATTTGTCAAAATAGAGTGAGAAAGGCATGTGGAGACTTGTCAGCATGCCGCTTTGATCATTGTTAAATACATTTCATTTGTAAAAATGCATACATGAATACAGTTTCTTTACTCAAGTCACAGTTACACAAGTAATTCCCAAATCTGTTCTACTTTTTTACAGTTAGTTCTTCACTGCAGATGGTTTAAGGATTTACTCAGTGTGGTTTTGCAGATATGACGGCAGCAATATTAATAAATGCATAGAGGATCAGCTGCTTTCTTCAAATACAAGTTAATCATTACAAGAACATCTAATAATACTTTACCAGTCTGCTGCAGTTACCAGGAGAAAAAAAAATCAAATAAATTGCTGTTTCTTGTATCCTTGGACTTTTTTTTATCAAAGCCACTTTCACTTATTATTTTATAAAAGAAAAAGATAACAAAAAAAAACAACAACAAAAAGAAGGAAAATCCCATGAAATGCAAAACCCTACACATCGGTTTTCAGTTCTGTGCAGTTACAGGAGATTTAAACGTACACTACTGTGCAGCGATTACATCACTGAATGCAAACACGATTCTGAAATGGTGTAGACTTTTACTGCATGACAGTTGGAGGGGTTTCTTTTAAACAACACTGTATTTCGCACAGATTTTTATGGATTTAGTAACTACTTTTTTGGAGGGAAGCATGGGGCAGGGAGATA